CCGAACGGATCCGGTACCCTCTGCAAAGGAAAGGTTCCAAATTTCAAACTGCAGGTTGGCAGGCCTTGCAGAACCTGTCTGTTGACATTTTTTTGAAAACATTGAGCCATTCTCCAACTGCTGAATATTAGAAGTCGTAATAGAACAGGCCGACTAGAGAGGGAAGCCTGAGACAGCTCATATTTCACCGAAGACTGACAAAGTTAAGATGCATACGAAGGCATCAATAGAGTTTTTCAGAGCTTTTCACACCAGTCAGTTCCCTCTTATGATGAATGTCTGCGTTGGTGAGAATGGAATTCTGAACCTATTAGTCATTAATGTAATGACATCAATGATTTGCATCCAAGATGAAGTTGTTCTCAATTCTCAAAGAATTCGGTTGTTTAATGTTCACATTCACTTAATTGAAACAGACAGTAATTAAAATTCCTTGCGAAAAGAATGTGGGCATTTTTGAGCGAATTAGACACTATTTCATAAAAAAATTGAAGATTATCAGTGAAACGTTCCTCTTTAAAACCTTTTGTGAATCTTCTTGAACACTTCAATACTAAGATGACTGTTCAAAAGTTTTGATATCCCTTTATTTAGGTCTATATTGGCATGGATGGAGAAAAGCGTATACTTCATATCCAAAGCTTGTGTTTAGACTTGTTTTTTTTTTGTTTACCAGTCTTTCTTCAACAAACAACTCAGAAAAAAAATAACCATCTAATCCCTTGAATCACTTTGAATCATACTCCAGTATAAAGTTCCGAACATCCCTTATATGCTGATAACCTAAGGTTAAAGTAAGTGAATTAGAACTACGAGCAGGAAGACTTATGGGAGCAGAACCGTGCCCGATAATTGACAAAGGGACAGCAAAAAGGTAATTCTTCAGAATAAAAAAAAATTTTTTGCTGAGCTTCTAGACAATTAAATTTCAGGCAGTTTTTTTTTTGAAACTTTCAAAAAGATAGGACAATGGGTCCATACCTTTGCCACACCGAAAAACTCTTACCCAACGCACACCCTTTGTCTGGTTCAGTACTAGGAAAATCTTGGGTACCAGTACGTTTTTACATAAAGTAGGTATTTCAACGATAAACTTCACGATTGGACAAAGTTCCTAAGCAAAGTAATGACCAGAGGCAGTTCCTGTTTTGTGAAAATGTATCCATAAATCAATTCTACAAGAAAAGTTCGAAAAAAAAAAACAAGACAGTGGGATATTAGCAGGCTGACGACAGATTGACACAAGCGCCTGAATGCCCAGTGAATGGATCCGAAGGGTTGTAAGCTTTTGAACCCCATTTGTTATGTTGATACTTATGTTTTCCAAAGGATAAGTGGCGTCTTGCAGATGAAATGATGTTTCACGCTGTAATCATAAGAAACGGCTTAGTAAATAGATAGATATCTTGACAGCTATTGAACGAGAGCTTCTCTATGAACGGAAAAAGATAAGTCACTTGGAGTGATAAGGACAAAATCTCTGGGCATTAATATAACCCTTTTTGGGATGCGCCCCGCGTTCGACTTCCATTCAGAATCATAGTGGCGGTTCGTATGCTTGTGAGGTCTATACAACAACTTGCGGCGATCAGCCGATGTACAAGTGTTTTTATACTCCCAGACAAGTCTAGTACCAATTGGCCCAATTCGAGGTAATGGAATGATTGGAAGTTCTGAGGGGATATCGATCCCCTGACCATGCGAATGTACTACATAGTGCACCGCCACCTGCCAATCCACCACCTCCGCACACATGGAGTAATATGACTTGTTATCCCATAGAAACAAGACAGAAAACAGTAAATAGCCTAGCACAACCCAACATTTTCCCCATGTAAGCCATGAACACGACTTCTACTCAAAATTATGATGGAAAGGGCTAGCGGATGTGAAAGTCGGTATTCTTATCATCTCCGAATTGTTCAACTAGCCAGCCTACCAGTAAAAATCGACAAGTAAACCAGGAGTGGAGTAACACGTGTAACCAAGTGTGACTATTAGTAAGTTTGTAACTGGAGAAAAGATGGAGAAGGATTTGGTAGGCTCGCCATAAAAGCTTAGATTCAAAGCTAATCAATAATCCTTTCTATGCGTTACTACATCGAATTGTTTCCAGTATACTCAGAAAGTAAAGATGTAAAGACGTCATCCACCTCTGTTACTGTAAGAAAAAGATTACGTGAACGACTTACCGTAATTTTAGTTCCTCGTTGGCATCCAACAACTTCTCGATTTCCCTGTTCTTCTCTTCAACGAGTTGATTCACGGTGTTATTATCGCTCTGGAATGCACTTGAGCATCGTAACGACAGCACTTAGACGATGAGTAAATATTTTTTGCAGTTGTTTTACTTCTCACTACCCGGGACTACTCAATCGTAAAGCGAGAAGGGCATGTAAATTGTAGTGATCCATTGGATGTTGGAGAGTAGGCTGAACCCTGAAGTACCTGAAATCGCTAATACCCTCTCATAGGGACGGGTTACGTCGCGGCACACTAAATGATATGGTAAAAATCTGAAGAAAACGGTATTAACCAAGCCTAAACCTGTTCAAGAGCGAAGGTAGTGCAGTGGTAAGTGTCGTACACCACACTAAAACATGGTCACGGGTTCGAATCTCGGGTCGATATTCGCCTAGGCCAACTAAGCCCCCATCCCTCTGGGTTCTTTGATAGCAGACTCATCTGGGAGTATAAAGGCACCAAATTGTCCATCGGCTGGTCACCGCAAGTCATTGTATAGGCCACACACACATTCAATACCCATTACAATTCTGAATGGAAGCCGAATGCGGGGCGCATCCCTCATACGGGGTTGATTAGTGCCAAAAGGCCTTATCCTTTGTCATTTGAACCCAGTCTCTTTTGAAAATCGTGACACAGCAGAAGGGTAGATAAATTGGAGGGTAATTCACGGAGCAAGGTTGAGGAAAATTTGCAGCGAACACTGAGGACGAGACAAGGGGCTATTTTGAGGTGGCGATGAGGTAAAAATCTCTCGGCGCAATTGCTTGTCAAGGTCTGTTCGCCAGGAAAAAGCGAAAAAAACACCGAGATCTTGAAGTTCTCTCACGATCAGGCCGTCACCTACACACACCATCCGATTCCCCACCATTTTCAAACGTTTTTGCTCAGTGGCAGTATAATTTCCAGCCGTCAAACAGACAGAGATCGAAAAGATGAAACGCTAGCATTTACTGGTTTTTGTCCCGGATGAGCCACGCAATAAATTCCATTCAGAATCGTAAAGGCATATGAATGTGTACTTGAATGGTACGATTAATTGCTAGAGTCAGCCCATAAACAAGTTGGTACTTTCTCCTTCCAGCCAAACTTCATTCCAATTGAGTGAGTCGGACTCCCGTGGCTCTACGTAATGCGTCAGAAAACAAAAGATCGGATATCAACATTAAATTTCAGTTCCATTTACTTTCTGGGGTCGCGGAAGCGAGGACGTAAAACGCAAGAGAGCAGGATCAACTCAGAATAGCAAGGAGCCCCGGCCCAAGAATAAGTATCGCCGCCTAACTCCTAGTCGAATCAGTTCAACAGATTCGAAATAATTTCAATTATTTTCTCTATGTTAAATGCATTATATGGTTTAACCAACAAAAGAAGCGTAAATAGTAAACAAATAATGTAATGATGTACCTCGATTATTACCTCATCGCTGATGTGCACATTTTCTGGCTGGGCTTCGAACCCACTTTTAACACCTCGGCTTCGTGAGCTGGTACGAGTTGTTTTCTCAGCTTTTGGTGTTTTGCCAAAGCCGTATGTAAGGCCAGCGGCAGCTAAATATCTTATTTATACAATCATCCATGAAACTCCATCACAGCCATTACAAAACTTCTGTTCTACCTCTTTTAAACATAAATGGAACAAAAGTTTTCCAAAAATCCGCATTACTCTACAGTTTTTATCTCCTACCTATCCATGTAGCTTTTATTCTGGAATGGAAAAACTCGAAAAGCAAGCCCAGTTGAAATTTCCGATGAAAATAGCGAAGGAATGAGAGTATCCGAGGAAAATTTACTGTCGAAAAAACGTAATTTTTGCGAAAACATTGCTTTCGCTCGAGCGCGTCAATCAATAAACGTGCAAGCTGCCTACATTCGCGCGCTCTCTAGTCGCGCGGGAATTTCAACGTTTCTCTTTGAGACCCCACGTCTTAGCTCATAAATGACAAGTAATTCTGTTACAGCGTACTATACTCGTTGAAGTCTCCAGTGCGCACTCTCGATCAATAAGTAGGTCTTACGCAGAAACTTCCAGAACTGTTTATCAGTGAAGCTATTCAGCTTTCTTCGCAACATCAATCTTGCGCTAAGCTCCGAAAAACATTTAAGATTATATTATCAATCAAATCAGAGCGTCTAGAACTGTTTATCAACAAATACCAATGGTTTTCACTGAGTCACTTGAATCTGTACTTGTTTTCACGTGATACAGCAGTAATGAATTAATCCGCCCCTTTGAGTTCGTAATCAACGCCTACGTTTTCCACCGGTCTACAGATTGTCTCTGGAAACTGCTTATCATTTAAGCCGCTTAGTATCGTTCGCTTCACCGATCATCGATCAATAACCACAAAATGCACTAAGCTAAAAAACCTTTGGTTCCATGAAGCACTGGTAATAGATACTCAAATTTCGTTACAAGAAGTAGGGTCCAGTCAGGAGAAGTCCGGTTAAGGAAGTTGGAAGTCGGGTCCTGCACAGCGAAAAAGGTCCCCGTTACAGGGTGCCACGAATTTAGTATTTTAAAATCACTATCTTAACCTAAATCTCGCCTGTCCCGCCCCCAAATTGACGATTACAACCCCCTCACTAGCTGATCCCCGGATAGTAAATTTGAACTTGTTTTAAAGTTGTCAAGTATTTACGTAGTTATATGACAAAACAACATAAATCTTCGTGATTTTTTTCGTGGCAGCTGTCAGCAACCGAATGGCAACTGCCATCGCCACAACTACCGGACATTACTCGTCAATTTGAGATCGAGCAGTTCTTCACATCGCACAAGTTGCACGTAAACTTGCAAGCGCAACTCATCCAAACTGGTATCGCCATTGTTTATCAGTAACTACTAACAAAAAGAAACATACCGATCAGCTTCTGAACAGCGGAGACGTTCTTTTCGAATTGCTGTGAGGCTTTTGTGTAGTCTGCATAATGAGACCCGTGTTTGCTACCATGAGCTAAAAATATTCAGTGTAAAGCTTTCAAATCAATAATAAAAAGTTATTTCATTCATTAAGACTGTAAGATTGAAATTTTCATGAGTTTCTTCAGTAAAAATGAAATTGGCCTAAAGAACTCATTTACTGTTTGATTTGAGGTCGCAGAAGATTTGCAATTTCTAAAGGTAGTCCTCTGAAGTAAAAATACCGAGGAAGAAGGATGAAGATGATGAAAATTATGCACTCATATTAGCTGTATTGACTATATTTATGGAAAGATGGATTAGTGGCAAGCGGCGCACTATCACACACGCATGGTTCAGCGTTCGAATCCGGGGTCGATGCCCGCCTGGCCGATCCGGGATCCATGCTGGCCTGGGTCAACCAAGCGTTCCATTCCTCCGGGTTCGGTGATATGTAGGTACACTGCGTGTTGTGACTGCATCTGTCGGGTACCCAAGGATTAACGTAGTCTGATTGATTTCACTGGCGGGTGTGATGTATCTGTAGGAATTTTGATACAACAACAAGGTTGGGAAGAAAAGTACGGGTCTTTATCAAGGTAATAGCCAGGAGAACAAAAGCAAAAAAGCGTAGTAGCATCAGTTCGAACCAGTCAAGCTTCTCACCCATCTGGAATGGGTCGTATGATGATAAGCCCGGGAGAAGAAAAAAGGTAAAATGTAATGGTAAAATGTAATGGTAAATACTGAATAGGTCTCAAGAGATGCGTATAGAAAGTCCCCACGATTGCCTTCACAAATCTAGATTCGTATACATGTACATGGCGCATATCGAAAATGTTGACTTGATCCGTTCACTTTGTCTTTGAAGTGTTTATGTTTCTTGTTCCCCAACATTTTTTTCCAGGAAATCATATCCTGACGTTCGAGTTAACCCAATTGCCCACTCAGAACAGTAAGGTTGTCATCGCACTTACAGTTATGGGACGTCACCCTAAATGGGCATGTCGGAAGCCTCTGTACTTTTAAAAAAAATCAGGTCAATGTTTTGGTTGTAAATCCAGAGCACAGTGAGAAAAACGTAATTCATAATAATGTCGACGAAGTAGGTCAAATGCTCGCTTGTTAGCTATAAAAAGGTATGTAGGGCAGTAGCAAAAAACGTCGCTACAACACAATCCTTACGGGCCAATAAATAAAATATTTGATCTCTCTCGGGCCGACTGACTGAAACCAGGCCCTTCTCCTAGAATAGAGCCTGATTTGCACAGAGACTAGATTCTGCAAGTTCGCAACAGCTAGCGTCATCCTGGAAAGGTTTTGAGTGCGTGTCCCACTCCAAATGGACTCACTAGACGCTTACCCACAGTACNATTCTGCAAGTTCGCAACAGCTAGCGTCATCCTGGAAAGGTTTCGAGTGCGTGTCCCACTCCAAATGGACTCACTAGACGCTTACCCACAGTACGCTTCATTTTAGGCATTTAGGAGTAAAATTTCGGTGGTCCTCATGATCCGTGTTGGAGTAATGACCATTTTTCTCACCAAAACACAACCTAGATCCTTCACCAAGTGCCGATTGGTGGAAGGGGAGGGAGAAAAAGGTGGAGAGAGTTGCTGCAACATCAATTCCCATCAAGTTCACTCGATAACTACCCAGTACAACCCATCCACTCCGTCCCCAAATGCGACCTCTACCCTTGCCGCGGATTCCACAACATAGACTTGACCCTATTTTTTCTACCGAAACGGCAAATGGGCTGCATAATGTCTGACTATGAAAATCTCCTTGGCCCTAATTAGACATATGGGGTCAACGGATGTATTGGGACGGAACGAGGGGTTACACCTCCTGAGCCAATGTCTATCGACGTAGCTCAATCAATATGTCCATACTTTGTAGTGTCGAAGTTTTCCGGATTCCGAGTTCCGATTTCCGGAGCACACTATGACGTGCAGTACTCACTCGTGAATCTTTTCGTTAAGAAAAAAAATTGAAACGCCCCTGGGTACGTCTGTTCTATATGCTCAAAATGTAAAATTTGAGGTCGAGGCAGTACTTGAGCTGGGAACGCGCCTCATATAGCCCAGGAAACCCTCGCTCTTCTTAAGCCAAAGGCTCCTTACACGAATTCCCATCACGGTTGCCACGCCACGTTCCCCATTACAGTTTCTTTACTTTTTTTTCTTGTTGACTGATACTTAAGCATCCAGTCATGGATTGCAACGACGCCGTTTTTAAACACTACGATACGACGAGAAATTTACGACGATGGCCGGGTAAAACTGGAATCGCAACGAAACGCTCATCGCCTTTGCCGATGAATGTGATTTGTTGATCATCGCCATTTGCCCATCATTTGTAGGAATCATTTATCATCAGGGATGAGAAAAAGCTCACTGAATTCCAATATACAATGGTGAATAGTTTAGCGGTATCGAGTGAAAGGCAACAGAGCGACCTGGCGACCTGGAGCGGCTAAGCCAGGCGTTCTTCCAATTTTGGGAGGGCATCGGTTGAATTACCCAAGCACAGGCCTGGGACTTCAATTTGAGCTTTCATNCGATTAGAGATTATCCAACACCTGAGGGCGGAACTGGCATCAAGAGGTGGAACTACCATCCCTAGAAGCGCTACTGGGTAATTTTGAGGTTCTCAAAAATGCTCTGAAAGTGTGATTCTCATCCCTTGAGACATCGAGGGCCTTATTTAAAACTCTAAATGTGAGCCTAGTTCACTGAAATATTGTCACTAATTAAATCAATAGGGGAAGGTTGAGCAGAGGCGTGTGGCGCCGCTATTACACGCCTGACACAGGATCAAATCTTCGATGTACCTTAGCCTACTAACACTTGAGTAGTTTAACAGACTAGGCCATACAAGTAAGTAACTGTCAGCCCCCAAATACTTCTTTATATATCATTGCAACCCGAATAAACTGAAACGCATTGAAGCGAGGAATTGAAAAACGCTGAAGAATTCACCCCATCATTTTCATAGTGCATAAGCTAGGACTTTAATGAAGTGTGAACGATGTGATTACTCTGAAAACAACGGGTGTGGTCATGCGTCTCTCTCGCGTATTTACAGAGACATTTGTCGGCCGTGTATCAATGATAAGTAACAGGGCTGTTGTAGTAGTGCGTTGTTATCAGCTGAGAAACAACCTCCACCTCCCGGACCCCCACGAAAGTGGACAGAAATTAAAACGCAAACTGGGAATTGGGTATAACAACCTCCCTTATGGGACAAACTGATTTGTTTGGGAACTCTCCGCAGCAATTTGTAGCAAAAAACTTTAACGCAGCAGGCATTGGCGACAGAGCCCATTCCGTCTCAAGGACAACTATTTCGGATCGTATAAAGAAGATTGCGATGGCGGGTTGCAAGGAGAAATCGTATAAAGAAGATTGCGATGGCGGGTTGCAAGGAGAACGACGACGACGACGACGACAAGGATCACCCCTACGTCCTGGCTCATGAAATTGGATTGTTCAAAGGGAAAATAAATTAATTTATAAAATTATTACTGAAACCAACCAAGATGAATGTAGATATTCTGAGCATTCCAACCAGTAGGTGGTGCCAGTATTCTACCTGTGGTCGTGTCATAGCTGTAAAGGTTAAAATATTAAGTGAAGTTCAGATAAATTAAAAAGTATCGCTCATGATGAATCATGGAAGAAGATTTTTCCATTAGCGATTTTTTGCCATCATTTTGCCGCGCTCCAAAAAAAGGAGAACCCTCTCGCGAGTCCGGGACAATTGTCAACCAAGGTAACTCCGCCCATGACATAGTGCACCCCTTGCGCACAGTTCGCGTTGACAACGAATTTGAACACTACCAAATGAACACTACCAATACCAATTTTTGAAAACTTACTCGAGTGGTCGGCGTTGACCATTTTCGCGATAGTACAAGCCGTGTGCTCCTGGAACGACTGACTGCACCGATGAAAACACAATGCCTGTCTCATCGGTCGCTACCTCGACTGGTTCAATTTGAAGCCGGACCCATGCTGTAAAACAGAAACTGAGTCAAAGGGATGTAACAGATTTATTAATAGGTATCTAGCTATATCTTCTAGTATTAGCAGAGATTAGGTTAGCTACAAATTATAGTCTAGCATAGTTATTGCTATACAAAAATCACTATCTCAAACCAGTTGTTTAAGGTCAACTTGATCACGTGTGTGGTAATAAAAACAATGCTATTTTCAATGTGATTACACAATATTTGTATTACCAATCATCAAGGAGTACTGTAACTTGATCACTACTGTGACACGGGTGGTGAGTACAGCTGATTACAAAAGTTCACAACAATCATCAATCACACAAATGTTAAGTATAAATAAAACGTTATCACTGGAAAGAATTCATGCACAGGATAGATTTCACTCTTACCAGTTACAAAGTAAGTTTGAGTTAGAGAAAGAAATTTTTGAGGAGCAGGAAAGTTCACGACAAAAAAATCCACTCCAGTAGGTAACCTCAGATTCGAGTACTTTAAAAACCAAAATGAACAAAATCGCGATTTTCGAGTATATTCGTGAAGAAGCTGTTTATATTTAAATTAGTAATAAACAATTATTGATCGGGACTAATTTTTTAATCCACTGAGAAACTTTTCAACACAACTTTGCATTTTTTTCATCATTGGAACTTCTGCAATTTCTCGAAAAGTACCCCAGCAAGTAAGCGGGTTCAGGTTTTCTGCCTGCAGTTTTTACGCTCACAACTGTTACTGCCTCATAAAAAACGGTCTACAGCATTTTTGTATAAAGAAAAACTATAAAAAGGGATAGAAATATTTCAGGAATCTAAAGTTACCAGCAGTGCTGGGCATCTGCCCCATTCAAGAAGAAATAAACTCACTTTTGGACAGCGGATTTATAACATCGCTGGCCATTTCTCGCGTATCCTGTAACGAGTAATTCATGACAGTACAATTTAGCTTACACAGTAAAACTGGACAGTAAAACAATGTAAAACGTAACTTGTAAAAACGAATGAACTTCCTGCAAACGACATGGAAAAACGAGAAAAAAAAANNAAAAAAAAACGACGATTAATGGATGAATGAGAGAGGACGGCTCAGGTTTCGCAGTGTGGTGTAGTGGCGGTTATGAATTTTGTCGTACCCATGAAATACCCTCAAGAGATCAATATCTACACACAAAACTCGAAAGAAAATAGATCAGATGCGTATTGATCGGCCTTCTCAGACAGTTCTCCCGCCTATTACCTTGAAACTCAACGCAGGAGAGTTTTTCCTGAACGAGATCGAATCTACTGACAAGTAAAAGAGAAAGTAGACGACAGTACGGTCGCTGAGCCAGGGTCGAGCGTGTCGGTAAAAAGGAAGCGTAAAACAAGTAAAGGAGGATAGTAATCAATATATATCTTCACCATTGCACCCATACCCGCCCATAAGAGCCAAGTTAACCTCGAGTGAGCACCTCACTCCGGCTGAACAACAGGTGGGTGTCGGTGCCCGATGGGTCTGAGTCAGACTGGAGAACGCACCGAAAGGAACGGCTAACTAGCACATGTTGCATGGTGGAACGTATAATAAATTAGGGGGGGGGGGGGATGAGATGGATGCAGGTGCTCATGGAAATCGATTCAAGTATTGTTTTGCATATATCCGTTTCGTTTGGTTTAACT